CAGGTGGTGATGGTGGTGGATAGTGAAGATGGCAGCCTTGCTCCTCTGGATGATGGCTGCCAGGCCAGGCTGGAAGTAAGGCAGGTGGGGGGGGGGGAGGCTTACCTGCCCATTGGTGTTGATTGGTGTAGTATAAAAATGTTGGATTTGGAGCCAAGAAAGAACTCATTCCAATTCCTACTTACACAGCAGAGTAACAGCAGCGTTACTCTGAGCACGTCAGTGACCCTATCTGAGCCTCAATTACTGAATCTATAAAATGGGGATAATAATACCCACAGTATTATTCTCAACCTGCTATGAGCCTCTAATGAGATAATGTGTGTAAAGTGCTTTTTGATCCTTAAAGTCACCTATTATTATTGAACCCAGGTTTCTCTCATCCACGGCTCTTTCCACTCCACCATGCTGTCCCCTACAGTTCACTGAGCCTTACTTTCCTCATTTGTAAAGTGGGACCTATCACCATCCATGTTACCTGTTCCCGTGGGCTTTGTGAAATTAAAGTCCTAGTCTTAAAAGTGCCTTAAAAGGGATAAGATGGGGGCAGCTAGGTGGCCCAGTAGATAGAGCGCCAACCCTAGATTCAGGAGGACCTGTGTTCAAATCTGACCTCAGATATATAACAGTTACTAGCTATGTGACCCTGGGCAAGTCACTTAACCCCACCGCCTAGACAAAAAAAAAGGGGGGGGGATAAGATGGAAGGCCTAGAGGTTATTCTCCAATCTAATCTGGCAGAGAGAAGGAGAAAGAGGAGAGAGGAGGGAGGAAGAAAAAGAAAGAGGAGAGAGTGAAGGAGAGAGGAGTCAAGGGAGAGAGGAGAGATGAGAAAGAATGGGAGAGAGGAGAGAGAAAAAGAGAGAGAGAAAGAGAGAGAAGAGAGGAGGGGAGAAAAGAGAAGAAGGGGAGGGAGAGGGAGATAAGGAGAGGGTGGAGGAGAGAGGAGATGAAAGAGAGAGAGAGAGAGAGAAAGGGGAGAGAAGAGAGGAAGGGGAGGGGGAGGGAGAGAGATCAGACAGACAGACAGAGTGAGTGTCAGAGAGTGAGCCTTGCTTTGGAGAAGTCTGAGACTTATTTAGACAGGACCAGGACCTCCCTGAGGGCTGCTGATTCTGGGGCACTTGTATCGGATCAGATGGAGACCATGTCAGATTTAAGTGGCCTCCAGGCCAGGAACAAGCCCCGTGGGGCTCTGGGCCCGAGAAGGGCAGTGCCGCCTTCTCCCAGATGCTGGCAGGGCCTTCCCGGCCAGGCGAGGCGAGGTTTTCCATGTTTGGTCCTCGGTGGGGCTCAGCAGGCCCCTGTCCAGCCGTATAACCCTTTGACAGATCCCCACAGCTGTGGCCACACATGTGCTGAGCCATCAGAGAAAAAGTGAGTCCTCGTAGACAGGAGAGAGAGAGAGAAAGAGAAAGAGGGAGGGTGGGAGGGAGGGCTGGAGGGAGGGGGGGCAGCGGGGCAGTCAGCAGAGAGCGAGGGAGAGTGGCCCGGCTGCAGCTGATCGGAGCAGCAGGTGCTGGGGCTGGAGCTTGTTTAGCTGGGATCTGTTTACTGGTCTCTCCTCCCCCGGTGCCCTCCTCCACCCTTCTGCTCCAGGGCCTCACCCAGCCCGGCAGACCATCCATCCCACGGAGCGGGAGTGTCCAGCTCTGCGGCCTGCTGTGGGCTCAGCGTTGCCCCAGGCCCTCTCTGCCCTCCCGGTGCTGATTGTCTTGGGTCAGAGATGAGAGGGTATCGGGAGATCGGTGCAGCCTCTCCCTCCCCCACTCCCATTATAGGAATCCCCTCCACTGCATGCCCGACAGGTGCCCAGTTTCCTTCTCTGTAATACCCTAGGGAGACTCCCTCACAGGGCTGTTATGGGGGAAGCGCTTCGTAAACCTGAAAATGCTATATAAATGTGAGTTATCACCATGTACTTGGAGCTAGAAGTGACCTTAAAGGCAATCTGATCCAACCCCTCCCCCACCTTCCTATTTTACAGCTGAGTAAACTGAGGCACAGGAAGTCAAGCAATTTGCCCAAGGTCACACCAGTATTACACACATCATAGGGAGCATTGGAACTCAACTCCCCTGACTCCAGAGATTGTATTCTTCCCAATATACTCTGCCATGCTGTCTTCAAGGTTTCCTCTGGCTCCACATCCTGTGTTCCAATTCCTGCTTGAATCATCCCAGGCCTTCACTAGCTCACAAGATACACTATTCCGTTGCTGGACGACCCCAGTTGCTAGAAAGTTCTTTCTTTTCTTGGTGGGAGACAAGATTAATGTATTTGAATCCCCTGTAAAAATATAATAAATAAAATGTATTTATTAAAATAAATTAATTTAATTTAATTTTTAAAAAGCTATCATTTATAGAGCAGTTTAAGGTGTGCAAATATTCTCCTACATGCTGTTATTATCCCCATTTTACAGAAGAGGGAACTGAAGCAGGTGGGGAGGTTGACTTGCCCAGTGTCACACAGCTAATAAGTAATGCCTGAGGTCATTTTTGAACTTGGGTCTTCCGGACTCCAAGTGCAGCACTCTACCGCACCACTTTGCTTCGAGAGAACATATGCCCAGCAGCACACAAAAAAGGGGGGAAAGCCAATATTAGAGGAGCCCAGGCAGGTTACATAAGTGTGAACGACCAGAACTAAGTATTCAAGTGTGTAGTCTCACTATATTCGTGTGGGGAGGAACGTGCCCCTGTGTCCCCTTAGGAAAACAGTTATCTAAGATTTGAGCATCCTGTCACTGACTGACTCAGTTTCCCCATATTGCTGAATGGCTCACCAGCCCCAAACAGGATTCATTTTGATGCTTCTCAAAGTAACCAAGGAGGAGAGAGAGAGAGAGAGAGAGAGAGAGAGAGAGAGAGAGAGAGAGAGAGAGAGAGAGAGAGAGA